TGTGCTGTCAACTTAATCACAGAAAGGCACTGTTTTATAATTCTAACCTGACAATAGCATTTACTTTATATTTCATAATTTTTATCCAGCCGACTCTTAAATATAATAATTGCGATCGCTTTTAGAAAGTAAAATTACGATTGTTTAGGGAAAGTTAACTTTTCCTTCCGCCTTGATAAAAAGCAATAATATATTATTGAAAGTCTCGTAGTAATGTATATCTTATTAGTAACTTTTGTTATTATCTAGTAACTTTTCAAAATATTTATATTTTGATTAAGCATTACGTATTCCAAATACGAGACGATGTTCGAAATGTTATTCGGATAACCTTGCATGCGGTTCGACACGGTTAAACGAACTTCCGTTTCGTGCCATTTATTTTAGGTTAGCTTGGATGTTCCGTAATTACTTCGAAGCTCGCTGGTAAACATCGCTGAGACATTCGAGGTTATAAAGTTGATCCTTTTAGCGGTAAATTACACAACAAAATCCTACCGTTGTTTCGAGGTAGCGTAATAGCAATAAAGAAGGTAATTCGATTTGAAATAATAGTACGAAAATTGAAGAAACCCGACAGCTTGCATAACCGCGAAACAAAGTCCACGTCGATAACAAAAGTTTCGTTTTCCTCGAAGTATGTTTCAGGCAGACAGCGTACAGAGTGTATTGATCCCTTCGTGCAACGTAAACGACAATTTTTTTTTCTAACTTTTTGCTCCGTGCTTTATATATCTGGACAGTAATTTTAACCGTAATTGCTACTGCCGGAGGTATAAAACTTTAAATCGATCGACGCATCCGTCAAGTATCCTCGCGATACCGACAGGTTTAATCGAATTACTTTAATCGAACGGCCTCCAAATTCGTTATTTCTATGGCATCTACTGACTCGATTATCAATCGATGGAATAACTACAGCGTTGTCTCGTTAGAAGTTGCTCGTCCGGCGGATAAGAGTCAGATATAATGAAATTGACCTCTATCACGTTTTGGAAAAAAAGACAGAGTCAATTGTTTCTCTCACTCTGAAACTTTAAATGTACGAAACTTGTCCCGATTTAAATCCAGATGAATTATTATTTACAGATAGTAATTTATTACGATAAACATTTTCCTGAAACGATGCGATAAGGAAACAAATATTATTTTTGGCAGGCCTCCGAGTGCAACTTTCCATTCTCTTTACGCGGCATTAGTTACGTAAAACCGGTCGGTTATTTTTATTATGTGGTCGCTCGCGCGTTTCCTATTCTTTTTATCCTTCTATTTATAATTAGCAGATATATAACAACAGTTTCTTGGTACAACGAATAACATTATTTTTATCCCGCAAAAAAGAAATTCTACGAAGTATTAAACGCAAACCTAACCTATATCTAGCCAAATGATTTCCATTTCAACATTCCTTGCGTCTAACAGTTCCCCTTTTGTTAGGATTTTACGTTGCAATTGTAGTGGTACAAATTGAATAATTTTAAAAGTGCTTTATTTATGCGTACAATATGATTCATGGAAACAGATGCATAAGCAAGAGCGATGGACGATTTACAGAGGGAGTGCGACTATATGTATACTTTGAACCTGTCTGGTCGAGACAGGGGGAAAAAGTTCACTGGGAAAGCACGATAAAGAGCGTAACGATGCGACCTACCTCACGGTTACCGTCCTCGAAGGCATTTCCCTTTGAACGATGATCGATCCATTCAGTCTAGCCCAGTGTTTCCCAACGTGCAGCATACGTTCTACAGGGGGGGGGAGAGCAATTTTTAATATTTTGGGGGGAAGTACTTTTTTAATTCCATGTCGAGGTTAGGTTATACATATACAGGGTGTTCAGCCAACCCTGGGAAAAATTTTAATGGGAGATTCTAGAGGCCAAAATAAGACGAAAATCAAGAATACCAATTTGTTGATGGAAGCTTTGTTAAAAAGTTATTAACGTTTAAAGTTCCGCCGGTACTGAATTTTTTTTCTCGAAAATGCGCAGAATTTCAGGGGTGTGTCTATTCACCAAAAATGATTGCAATTGACCCCCACGACCGAAAATAATTTTCCAGAACGATTTGAAATTTTTTAGTTTTTTCGAAAAATTTCACACCTCGAATTTTTTTCTCGAAAGTGGGTAGGATTTCAAGGGTATGTCTATTCACCAAAAATGATTGCAATTGATCCCCGCGACCGAAAATAATTTTTCCAAAACGATTTGAAATTTTTTAGTTTTGTCGAAAAATTTCGCATTTTCTCGAATTTTTTTCTCAAAAGTGGGTAGGATTTCAGGGGTATGTCTATTCACCAAAAATGATTGCAAATAACCCCCGCGTCCGAAAATAATTTTTCCAAAACGATTTGAAATTTTTTGGTTTTGTCGAAAAATTTCACACCTTCTCGAATTTTTTTCTCGAAAATGGGTAGGATTTCAAGTGTATGTCTATTCACCAAAAATGATTGCAAATAACCCCCGCGACCGAAAATAATTTTTCCAAAACGATTTGAAATTTTTTTTGTCCCTCTTAAAATGTCAGCATCTACCCGATTTTTTTTCTCGGAAGTGGATAGGATTTCGGAGGTAGGTGTATTCACAAAAAATGACTGTAATTGAGCCCTGCAACCGAAAATAATTTTTCCAAAACGATTTGAAATTTTTTTTTTTTATCGAAAAATTTCGCACCTTTTCGAATTATTTTCTCGAAAGTGGGTAGGATTTCAAGTGTATGTCTAATGACCAAAAATTATTGTAATTAACCCCCGCAACCGAAAATAATTTTTCCAGATCGATTTGAAATTTTTGAATGTAATTCGTCTTATTTTGTGTAAACAAACTCAGTATATATGGCTTTCTTTTACGAATAAATGACAAATGGAAATTGTGCAATGTAAAATAAATTATAAAAATATTTTTTAGAGGAGGAAAACTTTTAGGCGATGATATCTCATCATAGAAATATTCTTGCAAATATGTATATTTCGAATCTTGCATGAAAATATTCCAGCGATGTACCTTGCGCCGCGTCGATCAAAATATTTGCTTATCAGGTTACGTAATAGAAAGGCGGCGAAGATTTAAACGCACGAAATTACACAACCGATGTAACGTAGACGTTCGGTCGATTTCGATTATTTAATATGCACTTCAGGCTCGTCCGTACGAGCATAAATTTATCGTTGACTAATATCGTCGGAGCGTATGTACATCGTTCGCTCCATTAATTTTCCAGCGACTCTAATCCTGCCGGTATCAATGGCGTAGGCGACTGGCTTTGCAATTGACATTGAATCTCTCCCGTATTTATCTCGAATTTTCTCGACGGATTTCCACCTTTCGTTGTCCTTCGTCGACGGCGGTTCCGTAACCAATTATAACATCGTGAATTGATTTAATAGGAGGACCGATGTATTGGCAGCGAACGTTAGTTTTTGCTTCGTTAATTTTCCATGGATTCTGATCGAACCGGTCCTCAGTGGCGTGGCAACGGAATTTTCCAATCGTTCTATGAGCACGGGATAATGCATATGATACAAGTACAGGATGAAAAGAATTCCAATTAATTCGCCGGACTAATAATTATAGCAATTTTGTTCGAATCTTCGTCGCGGTAATTATACGGCAATCCAGTAACGAAACATAAAACATTCAACGAATTTGTATCGTGGACATCGTTAAAGGTAATAATTTCCCTTTTAAAATCGTTTTAAAAATCCTGACGTCCCTCGGTGTTCCTCTAATTATTCCCGTGTGCCCCGGGCTTTGCGATCGTTGGCTCGGCCCTGGGACGTTGGTAATTCTGGATCACGAGACCCCGTATTTACTTTCGTAAGCAAGTCGGTGGAAAATTGGATTTCCTGTAAAGCGACTAAGCGACACGTGATAGCTAATGAGACTTAATAAGGGCGAAGTTCTGATCCGTCCATTGATGATCGTAAAAAAGTCAGGTTAAATTTATTACCATTCCGCGATCCGCCGATGCTACTACGTTGATTGTTGTTTACGAGTTATCTGCGCGAAGACGTGCTTGTCCTTAGCCCGAATATAGGGTAACCGCACATAATATGAAACATGTGACTTTAAAAGCTCAGTTGATGTTTTAAAGTAAAAAAAAAAGAAAGCAAAATCGTCTATTAGAAGAAGTGGTATTTAATATAGGGTATTTAGAGGTTTTAGAATCGTTTATCGTTGCTAAAAATATTTTTGCGTTTTCGAGACCACACGTGTTACATCGAGGAGACAGCGTTCAAATATAGCCCCTCGCCACTGTTTTCGAAGATAACTTTTCTTTTCGGCTCGTTCGAAACGATAAGACGACAGCGGGAATTCCCAAGCGTGTCCATGGAATTGATTTGTGAATATTAAATTTTTCCATAGGACGCGTGTCGTATTTCACAAGCAGAACTCAATCGCCGATAAATTAAATAGAATGTAATAAAATTGTTAAATATTCATCAAAGTACCATAAATGTAGATCGAAAAGATTTATTATTCATATTTATCTACATTTATTGTGCATTGATAAATATTTAATAATTTTACATGGAAAGATTTATTATTCATATTAATCTACATTTATTGTACTTTGATAAATATGTAATAATTTTATTATATTTTATTTTATTTATTTAATTTAATTAAGTCAAAAATATATGGGGGACCGCAAAGGGTTGGACATCGAAGGGTACGCCACTGACTGCGTTTTGATAGGATCGGCCCGGTAGAAAGAAAGACTATTGCGAGGACCGATGACTCACCGCGAAAGTATTTATGCTCTGCAGTTCGTTCACTACCACGCAGGAGCGACGCCGTGTCGTTATACAAACGTGTTACAGCGTCGCGTGTAATCTTTTCGTACACATTCCGAAGCGCCGGGTTTCTCCGAATTCTCGTTGACAAATCCGTATCGCGACCATAAAACGAACGATATCACCGGATCAGAAATGCGTCGACCGAAGGTGGAGCCCCACCCCCGTCATTGACTCTACGGCCCCCGTTCGTTTCTCTGTTTCAGCATCCGTGATAACAACGCGGTGAACGGCGTGATCCCTGCCAGTGACTGTAAGATCTGCAAGGACGCGAAGGACGAACCAAAGGATTCCGAAAGCGGCGGCGCGTCCCTGCTTTGCGCGCTGAAACCGCGTAAGCGCAAAGAACGTCGCGAATCCTGTTGCCAGGAACGGAAACTGATCAGGTGCGATCGACGAGGGGCGAAAAAAAAAAAAGCGTTCCTATCGAGTATTATCGATGGATCGATTTGTCGGTATACCGTGTCCCGTTCCGTTACCAAAATCGAACGGTTTCAGGAGCAGCAGCGAGGAGCGTGTACTCGAAAGTCCTACGAAAGCGGCTGATACGATCAGACGCGTCAGCAGTCACGAGGATTTCAATAGCGAGGAACATATGCATATACTGTCTCAACTCGGTCAGGACAACATGGGTCATGGTGTGGTAAGTTTGTACTAGGATTATTGTTAGGTTAGATTTAGGAACCCATTGCACCAAGGACACTTCGTCGTTGCGTTTACGAAAAATTTTAATGGGGGGATTCTAGAGGCCAAAATAAGACGAAAATCAAGAATACCAATTTGTTGATGGAGGCTTTGTTAAAAAGTTAATAACGTTTAAAGTTCTGTTCGTACTGAATTTTTTTTTCGAAAATGCGCAGGATTTCGGGGGTATACCTGTTCACCAAAAATTATTGCAATTGACCCCCGCAGCTGAAAATAATTTTTCCAAAACGATTTGTAATTTTTTAATCTTGTCGAAAAATTTCAAACCTTCTCGAATTTTTTTCTTGAAACTGGGTAGGATTTCAAGTGTATGTCTAATGACCAAAAATAATTGTAATTGATCTCCACAACCGAAAATAATTTTTCCAAAACGATTTGAAATTTTTTTTTTCCATCGAAAAATTTCGCACGTTCTCGAATTTTTTTCTTGAAACTGGGTAGGATTTCAAGTGTATGTCTAATGACCAAAAATGATTGTAATTGATCTCCGCAACCGAAAATAATTTTTCGAAAACGATTTGAAAGATTGCAATTTTGTCAAAAAATTGCATACCTTCTCAAATTTTTTTCTCGAAACCGGGAAGGATTTCAAGTGTATGTCTAATGACCAAAAATAATTGCAATTGACCCCCGCAACTGAAAATAATTTTTCCAAAACGATTTGAAATTTTTGAATTTAATTGTTAATAACTTTTCAACGAAGCCTCCGTCAACAAATTGGTATTCCTGATTTTCGTCTTATTTTGGCCTCTAGAATCTCCCATTAAAATTTTTTCCAGGGATGGCCGAACACCCTGTGTATCGTCTCATTGTCTTGGTCTTTTGCCAAAATAAATTATGAGAAAAATTTTCCATGCCCCAACTCTAAATAACATATATTTTCTTAAAACGTCTGATATGTTAACGAACGAATCGATGCAGAAATTTATCAGAAGGTTCGATTTTAGTAAAAATCAGCAAGCGATTCCAAGCTTTTTGGCCACTTGTGTACATATAAGTACATCTTTCGTAAACTGCTCTCCAACGACCGAAGACGACATAAAGAATCGCTTAGAGTGCCGAAATTTTATATTCGTTTGCTGAAATTCAAGTATTATCTTAATTTTCTTTTACATTTCTTCCCCTTATCGTATCTGCTAGATACAATTATCAGCAATTTCTCGTCGTTTTCAGTTTATCGCGTACATTCGAACGAAACAGTCGTGACTATTCGTTCCCCGGTTACATCATTATTTACATAATAGTGTATAACTTTGTTTAAATAGTTTAATTAAATATTGTGAACTGCAAAATTTCAAGGTATAAAATGAATAATAGCTTCGTGTATCGACGATGGTTTATCCAAAATATTTATTAAAAATTATTCAAATGCGTTGAAATAAATATATGATTAGTTTTTTGAGAATCTAATAAACAGAGAAAATTCTTAAAAAAATACGAAGATGAATATACCGTGCTTCCACGAGAAGAAAGCACAGCATGTTTACACTCCTACTCCTGTCGCAGTCCAGTGATTCGCAGGTATTGGTCGAAAACGATGACGAAGATCGGTGACAGCCAATCAGCGGACTGCAGCAAGAGTGGGAATGTAAACACGCTGTGCCTTCTTCCCGCGGAATGACGATACACATATACATGTCGGTATACAGAATTTGGTGGCGCTATCTAACGGGAAGAATTGGAACTATTTGGTTACGAACTCAACCGTTTTGCCACCCAGTGGCCATAGATTCAAGATTATTAGTTTTATATCATTCAATACAATTATAACGATAGCTGATATTTCCGCGTATTAAGCACCCTAGATTTTCGGTCGAAACATGAAGAGCAAAACAAAATATAGTATTGTTCGCAATTGATTTGCAGAGATGCGGAGGTCTTCCTCTGCACGAAAGGACGAATGTTTCGCCCATATCGAAGAAAGCGCCGTCGTTCCCGTCGCCGTGCGAGACGGCTCTCGAAACTGAAAAATTCGAGCGCGACGCCGAGAAATTGCGAAGCAGCGAACGTTTCAGCAGGAGCATCACCCCGAAGGGCAGAAAGCAGGCCAGAAGAAGAAAAGTGCACAAGATCGCAGACGCGGTGAGTTCTACCAAGGTAAAATTCAAAATTTTTCGAGAGAATACGAAGACGAGTGTAAACATTTGGGAATGAACCGTATTGTATTTTTGTTTTAGGAAAATGACGACGGACCTGGTAACATTTATAACGTATCGTCGAGCCCCAACAGCCGCAATGGGTCACCGGCCCAAAGCTTTTTAGAAATGTTGAGCAGCGGTCCGAGCCGATCGCCATCGCCAGCTCGACCGCCGACGGTCGACCACGAAGATCTAAACAATCCCAGTTTGACGAATTGGACTTTCCAACGGCACGAAAATGTAAATATAAAAATGGAACGTAAACTATTGCTATTACATATCGACTGTGCGTTTATAGGGAGAAGATGCAGACGCGCGTGTCGAGGCCATGCTATCGCCAAGAAATTCTCTGTTGCTGCCTAGACGGTTTTATTCCGAGAACGAAGTGCAGCCCAGCACTCCGACGATCGCGGAACTTGGCTTGAAAAATCTGACAAAGCATATAAATAGTTTGAAGAAAAAGATTAAGAAGTACGAGGACGAGTTCGAGGAAAATTTTGGTTATCGCCCGAGTCATTCCGATAAAATGAGCAACAGGGATATAAAACGATTGTGTTCGGAGTTGAATAAATTGCGAAAGGAGCATAAGCTTCTGAAGGAGGATCCGGTCAGCGCGTTATTGGCCAACGCGAATAATAGAATAAGATCGGACAGCGGTAGCTCGACCAATAACAATAATAGCCCGGAGAAATCCAGAGCCACGTCGATGGAAGAAATGGTGAAGGATATAGAGAAGAAGCTCAGCGAGAAGAGATTGAAATGCAACAGACCCGACAATATGGAAGAGCTCACGTACGAGCAACTGATAGACGAGAAAACTGCCGTGCAGAAAGCTTTGCTTCATATTGAAAATATTTTCGGAAGACCCGTCTCCAAAGAAGATAGGACCGTTGTGCGTCCTTTATATGATAGATATAGAACATTGAAAAGGTTACTTATTAGAGCAGGCGTGAGCAAGAATAAAGATAGCATTTCGGAATTAGCCACTATCTTGGAGCACGAAGCAATGGATTTCACGTCGTCGAATGTGCCTGGCAATCAGTCTGACGCGGAAAGAAGAGCCAGCGAACCGGATATGTCGCATAGAGGTATTTTGGATTGTATAGATTCGTTAGACCAATTACCAACCGACAGCGACAGCCAGCACAGCAGCAGCGAAGGAAGTCGCAGTAACAATGAAAGTCTCCATGCGCTTCCACCGTGAGTTTCTTTGATTACTTCCCATTTCCTATTTCCTATTTCCAATTTTCTCTAAATGATTTCGTTCGATTTCAGGGACGAATTATTGGTTCAGCAGAAATTGACCAGAGAAGAGAAAAAGCGCCTTCGTCGAGCTTTGAAAGAGTTAGAAGCGCAATTCGAAGCTCGGGCCGGTCGCAGGATGCAGAGAGAGGATCGTGGCCCCCAAGTCATCACTGTCTACGAATCGTATAAACAGGCCAAAGCAAAACTTAGACTGATCGATGCTCTTGTAGCTAAAAATGCTTGACGCAGTATCTAATTGGCGCCTTGGAAAGTTACACGCGCGGCAACGACAAAACCCCAGAGCATCATGAAAACGTAAAATGTGCACAGTAGTCGCTATACAATCGACAGATCGCATTACATTCGTACAGTTTGTTGAATAATTCTGTTGTGTAATAGGAACGGCAAGCAAAAGAATTAGAAGAAGAAAAAAACGAAAAAAAAAAAAACAGCATCGAAATAAGAAACGTAATATATATGATAATTTGAAAATACTGAAAAATCAAAAACTGTTGAAATATAAAGGGAAAGAATACCTGCGGTAAATGGTATCGATATCGTTCCTCCCGGTTTATGTATCGATAATAATTTCCATTACCTCCATTTATAAATTCAAGAAACAATCGATCAGTTTTGATTCTAACCATTGTATACCGATATCAGTGAAACTAAACATATATGGAATTTCCCAGCAATTTTAACGAAAGCAGTTATCGAACATAATGCAGTAATCGCTGCACGAAGTGTCTCGAGGAACGATATCGATCGTTCACAATTAACGATGTTACTCTGACGAGTATCCTATCGTTTTAGGGACTCGTTCGACTATACATAACTTCATAAAGGGATATTATACGATAGTAATGGATACGAATCTTATCAGACTAGCACTTTGAACTCTAAGCACTAATAGATAGAAAAAAATGACAGGTGGCTACTGCGCTACGCGTATCGAAACGATCCGCCGATTTGCACTTAAAACTTCCTCAAAATACTCGACATCGATTTCAATACAGCAGGAGGATGCTTATTCCACAATATCTACCAAATCATTACAAAATGTCTACCTACTTGTACGGGGCAAGAACTTTGCATGAAAAAAAAATATTTCATTAGAGAAACTACGACTACACACGCAAGGCAATGTTAACGACTTGTTCTATCGAAAAATTTTATACGTACTTTTAATAATGCCATCGAATATTTTATGATTTTACGATCGAGAATTATCGAAAGTTTTGATTCTTTCTACTTTGCAGCGTTTGTATGTTTACATTACGACATTGTATCATAGGCTTATGATCTTTCCATATTTTCTACGTTCACGCATTCCTCTGTGTCTGTCCAAACGTTGATGAAGTACGAAAAAAATCTTGTTCAGAGGTCGCTGCGGTTTATGTATGCGTTTCTTCCCGTGAATCGAGAGGGTAAAAAGAACATTCGAAAAAGTTTGCGAATCACGCGTGAAAAAAAAAAAGAAAAGAAGTGACAGCATCAGTCACAGACATGAATTAATTATGAAATCGCTTTCATAATCAAGACGAATATAGTAAGTACATTTATTATCATTTTTTTTTAAATTTTATGAGAAATTTTATTGCTTAACCTTACATTATTTATTTAGTAGAGTTGAATAAATGTTTCGTTGTTTTATACTATCATCGATAATATTCTAAGGGAAACTATTAGACTTTTCAGAACAATTGCATACATATTTTCTTTCTAAACATTTTGGCCTTCATCTGGCAACTAGACTGTTTTAATAATATTATTAATACGCGAGATCTTTTGAAATTACATTTGAATTTACTTTCGAAGAGATTATGACCAGTATGACTATAAAAAGCATTTTTTTTAAATGACATTTCAATTTAACTGCAAAGGTTGAAACGTCGAGGAGGAAAGTTCTTTTGAAATTGTCCTGAAAATGCAAGTAAAAAGTTTTTCTCATTATTTATGTTCCCTGATTACTAATCCGGTTGTTGAGATGTTTGTACTTTCTTTGTTTTACGTAAGAATTATTAGTTACTTTCGTTTTTCGAATAGAAGAGATAGGGTGTCTAGACTATATATATCGTTTAAACTAAAATTCGGTATGTTCGTTTTATCGTACGAAAATTATCACCAGATTGGATACCGAGAGTAAAGAACGAATCTGTGGGGTTATTTGTAATCTAAGTACCTTGTAAGAGATATCACATGTTGTAATTGTAGAGTACTATAAACTGTTACAGTCTTATAGCATATTAAACATATTCACTAAAAGCTCGTTGATTTTTGCGTTTAATGATCTGTTTACGCGAGTGAAATTTTAAGGCGGTGATAAGTCCTGGGGTGAACTTCGTAAAATTTTGTAAGCGTCGTCAGCCTTAAAATTTAACTCCACGAGGACAAAGTCTCGAACGAGGGTGCTAATGGTTGAGCTTATAAACGGTGTCGAGTAAATCGAAAAGAGATACTTTAGCGAGTTTGATTGGCGTCGAAAGTGGCGCCAAACGGAGGATCGCGTTTCTTAACGGCTTCTAACAACACCGCGAAGCTGCAAAGTTTGAACTTCGATATGGAACAAGGATCGAAATACAAAAGCGCGTAAAGAATTATCGGTGTTCAAAATTTCGATTGAAATCATGACGAATGTCGACTATAAAAATACATAAAAAAAAAGAAAAAGGTACGTACGAAGCAATTTTCATCGATTCCTTGCTACATATTTCGGTTCAATTTTTGTTCGCTTACAAACCGAGTAAAAGTGGTAGGCGGCCTTCGATCTTTTATTTCATACCAACCCGTTTCGCACACTCGCACGGAAATGAATATTATTTCTTCGTGAAACTTTGGACGATCGAGAATTTGTTGTAAATTATTATTACGCTCGGGACAAGACGCGCGCGGAGCAAACGGAAAAGCGAACGATTTTTTAGACCAAAGCATTTTTTAGTCTGTGATATAATATGAGAGTATATACTACTTGCGTTGATACGGCGGAGTGTGTGTGAGAAAGATTTTAGCTTTCTTTTTTTTTTTTTTTTTTCCGTGAAAACGATTTTTTTTGGGAACACGACGGAACATTTCTTGGCCGTTTCTTCGTGTCGAGATCCATTGATATCTTTAAAAGATAACGAAGCGAGGATAGTAGCTTAAGATTTAAGCGGTGCTGCATTCTTTCGTGGGGAAACGAGTTGGACGGTAGAACAACCGAACAGCGGGGAATCCAACGTTTCCAAATATAAAAATGAAAAGTAAATAACATTTATTCTTTTCTATGGACAATTCTCGTGTATCATTTCCATCCGCGGTTTTCTAGTAATTGTCGCAGCAACTCGTACCGATGAATAAATGGGAGAAAAGAACTTGTTTTGTATTTAGTATCACAGAAACGTTTAATTTTGATAGATTTTGTGTGAACGAACAGCGGACACGAAGAAAAAAAAAAAAGTAATGTCTTAGAAATAAGATAACATTTTATATTAACGTTATCTAAGATACGTTTTGTAGGTTGTGTGGATGAGACGTTTGTCTTCTCGCGTATAAAAAAAAAAAAAAAAAATATTAAACGCGTGATTCTGTACAATTGCTCGAGGGGGAAGGACATTTTCTGGACGCGGAACCGGTCGAACGTTTTCGCCGTCCATGGGAAAAACGTAACTTACGAAAGAAACTGTAAACTATTCGAGACGGTTCGATTATAATTTTTCACGGCATATTTAGTAATTAGTGTTCACACCGAATGACAAATAAAGATCGATATATATATATATATATATTACAAATAGATACATAAAAATTGGCGATAAAAATCGAGGAGCAAATTACGTCTAGCAGAATGTTAATTGTCCTCAGCGTTTATGAACGTGTGATTATGTATATACATATACAATGGTATCTATAGATACAACCAGTTGCATACATAAATACATAAAACCCATACACGCATACAAATCAATATATACGTTATAAGAAGTAGCACCCAGAATCGAATAAAAAAAGAATATGATCCGCTAAAAAAACAATTGTACTCATTCTAGATAATAATCCAAATTCTTAGATATATGAAATTCAAGTTCTAGTAATCCCCCTTTCGATCCTGATTATTATAATGTACAGCGATAAATGACAAATTCTAAGAACTTAATTACCCATTCAAGAGAAAGTACTGAAAATTTTTATTTGCCTTCTACTGTATGTTTCTCAGGATAAGTTTCTATCAATATTTTTAGACCTGCACTTATTTTGCCTCGTAGAGTTATTTTAATGTAGAAAACAGATGCAGTGTCTTGAATCGTTATCCATTTGAGATTCGTTTTATTTCTATACATGTACATATGAGAAGCGTTTGAGTAATTGTCATTGTATATATATAAATATGTCTATCGGTAGATTCAACTTACCTTGCAAACTATGACGCGTCCTTATCACGAAGTCAATTTCAATTGTTTCTGAAATGTTTGAATTTGTCGCAAGAGCCCAGTTAGCCGAATAGAAGTAGGTTCTCTTGTCGCGATAATACTATTTCCTCTTCTATGAATACTAGTTCCGTTGGATTTAGTTAACGTAAAGGGCATGGACGAATAGGCTTTGTTCGGTCCCATTGGAACTTCAGTCGATATACAAACATAACTATTCTTTTCCTGCAGTAGCTTCATCTGTTGTTTTAATGCCATTACCTAATAATAAAAGGAATTAAAACGTTCTGATTAAAATTAATATTATCGTTATAGACGTCGTATATTATTACAATTCGCAGAAGTTCATTTTACCTCTTTGTACAAATTAATAACCGCGTTTATTTCGTCCTCTTTTGCAGTCAATTCTTTCTCGACGTTACGCATCTCTTCTTCAGACTCTTTGTCGGTACCCTTCTCAACTTTTCCTTGTAATTTTTCATATTTCCTACGGTCGGCGAAAGAATAGTTAAATTAACAAAATGTCTAGAATTGGAATATCAATCGATGCGACTTACATGTTCAGTTCTTCAAACTGATCATGAAGATTGATGAGAACTTCTCGTATACCCTTCGAACCCTCGGACTGGGCAATTGATTGAGTGTTGCTCATGACCATGTTGCATTCATTACCCTGTAATTTTCTTACATTAGAATTTTAAACGGTTCTATTAATTTACATTGACCTACTTGATAAATTTTTGACTCTACGCCCGGGATTTCCATTTGCGTTTTTACATCCTGTTGGGAGGAAAACATTTTCAATAGTTTAGCATTACTCGCAGCCTTTGATATTCCTGGTACATCGTGTCTATCCAATTGATTCTCTGATCTAGTATCCTGTAATAGATTGTTTGTATTTCCAAAGAATGTCCACTTTAAATATTTTTTTTTTGGCTCTATTTTTATTTTTCAAAGCGAACCTTTCCTTTGCGAGGATTCTCGTACATGGCGGTCTCGTCTACAATTGTCTCTTGCACATTTTGATATCGTTTTATACTCGACTTTAAATTCAAATTTAAGTTCCTTAATCGCTCCTTCTCATAATGCAGGGACACGCTATCATTCTCAAAGAAATTCCCAGGTCCGTTCATAAACGAATTTTCTTGCCGTACGAATGCGCTTATCATTTGAGAATTTATGTCAGGCAATTTATTACAATGACTGCTTATTTGTTCCATAAGAGTAGACACAGGCTTTATCCCTCTGCTAACTTTACGAATGAGAAGCGGAGTCATTCCATTAACTGTAGGTTGCCTTGTTTTCATTATACTTAATACCTTTCGAACAAAAGAACAAAGCTATAATAGTGAATTTTTTCACGGTCTCGCGTCAGGCAACGTACTTGCTGAATATTTAAACCTAAATTGTGACTTGGGGTTACAGAGGTGCCCACTACAAACGGTATGTTTCGGAAATTGAATCTACTGAAGTACGAACGATTTACTCTTTTCAACTTCGAAGCCAGTGTCGGCATTTCGTAGCTATGAGTAATCATCGGGTCACAAAACGATGTTTGCATAATTGAACGTTGACACTGTTGCGAATCGCATTTCTCCATCGTATACGTGGGAGCAGACGTAATCTCGATATTACAATTTTGAATACGCGTATTTATATTCTTCCCCCTAAAGGATTAGATATATCCATCGTATTTAAAATTAATATCCTCTTAGTCATTCTCGTTGCAACTTACTCTGCTTTATGTTTAGACTGATACTGTTTGCGTGGACTATCTTGCGCGTTGTTTTCATCGACATTACTATTAGGTTGATCGTTATTATTTTCACATTTCGGTTTTACATGCACGGTTTGCTGTTTATTCGCGGCTAATCTACTATTATAGTTCGCGTGGGAATCAAATTTAGAATGTTTACCGGGAATGACAGAAACACTACCACTTTTTGCTGCCGTGTTATGATAAATTTCAACTACTTCGTTGGAAGATTGACGAGATTTTTGTCCATTACGACTACTCACGCTGCCTGAAAAGTTAAATAAAAATTAATATACACTTCTTAAATAATTCTTAATAATTCTAGTCTATACCTTTTTGTTTTCGCTTTCTGGTATCCTTTCTTCCTACGAAAATTGTGTCCTTGGTAGTCACTGTACTCTTTGAACTAATACCGTGTAACTTTCTTCTTCGTTTTTTAAATTTCAATGCAACGGCATCGTCTAATTTACACGAGGAACCTTTCTTGCTTAATACAACAGAAGAAATTGTTTTCTCCTTCTTCTCGCTCTTTAGACGGTTTTTACTTTTGCCTGTAGGTGCAGTTTTTACGCTGCCGTTAGTTTGTGGTTTAATGCCATTGTTCGCAAAAGGTAGCTTTTGAAGCAAGTATTCGTTCTGATTGTCCGAAATTAATTGTTCGAAAGATTTTGAATTTTCCACGTCCTGTGTTACTTCGTTAGAATATTCTGCTAAATGATTTTGGTACGGATATTGCCAGTTATTCTGTTCTTCGTACTGTCGAGAAAATTTTACGCATACAATTACAAAGAACGTTCCCACAAAATATATTTAATGCATAAATACGTACAATCATATTTTCTTTATGAATCGGTGATAATGATCTTGATTGAATATGCAAACTTTGTGGTAGTCTATAAGTTCTAGGAGAAATTGCAGTCAATTCAACTTGTAGCTTTTCCTGTGTATCAGAGTTTTCAATTTTCTCTCCTTCTTTACGTTGCACATTAATTTTTGGTAGCATGCTCTTTAATTTCGGAGACTGATGCAAATCACATTTTGCAGCAGCGCCTTGAACAAACAATATCGTTAAATATCTTATTTAAGAACTTCTTTAACCCCTTGCCTAATGATTTAATTTCCAACTGTGCGTGCAGAAAGCGACACCAAGGTTTGGCCCGTAGACTTATCACGTCTCTGAGACGTCGTTGTAAGCTAAGGGGCTAAACTGATAAAATAATAAAAGGTATTGCCAGATAATTCTTTATACCATTGTCGTTCGTAGACATGTATTTGATATCGCATAACTCTTCCAAAGAATTATCATAATTAATTTGTTTGGATATTATATTGTCGACAGGACAAGAAGTATCACTTTTAGGACTATGACAGTTTGTACTGTTCAAACTACTTCTAGTCTCTAGAATTTCTGGTTGATTGTCGTGACAGATCATTTTCATATAATTCATATGAGACTTTAAGGAATTACATCTTATGTTTGTGTAATCTAGCCATTGTTTCACACATTTTGAATCTGAACAAACGGAAATAGATACAGCATTAAATTACCATTTAAATTTATTAGGGATTGAAGCAACCTTGATCGTGGATAAACATCTGTTTATACCACTTTCAATATATAACTTATAAACTTAAGTATGTTTAAAATACATATTCTAAAAAGCAATAGTGTAATATTAAGCGAAAAAGAAATATAATTACCAATAATGCATTTTTTTGTCCTAACATCCATATTTTATTTTTTTTTTTTTTACCACGTAAACTTTATCGTTTTAACTATAAAATAAATCGTCGTAAATACGGATAATAAAACAAATAGACAATATTCCAACGAGTAAAAGAAATTTGTAACAATAGAAAAATAAACAAAATCTATAAAAGTTCGCGAAGCCAGAATTCGCAGGTTAAACTTTTATTGCTAATCGATTACATTTTGTACACAAATCTTTTGTTTTCGGCTCGTTCTTCATTCGTTAAAAGAAGAATCGTTCGAGCAGAACTTTTGACTATTGCCACAAATTCTGTACAATCGGTTTAACTTTATATCGACATTTGAGAATCACCGTTTCAATGCAATTTAGGAAACTTGAGTCTCGTTTATCTTTATAATGCCGTTAAAATAGGATTGTAAATATAATAGCGTCATCTTGGGTTCGAAGAGAATGATTCCCAAAGTATCATTCTGCATTTGATATCGGTGGACGTCATTGTCTGCAATGAATACAGCAGTCCTTTGCAATAGTCATTATCAAAAGTTGAAAAAGGGCTCTGACCGAAATGATGTTATTCATAACTGTTAAATACACTATCATTTTGATTCTTATAGCTGTTTCGTAATCGGAATCGATACTATACAGTGTCTTTAACCCCTAGTTACTGCATATTCGTCCATACTATGGATTCCATAGTTCTCAAGCAGAGACTATAATCACAAGGAACTAAATAAAAAGTTCTAATTATTCTGATTAAAGTCATTGTTTGGTTAATAGTGCGTTCTCTATAGAACACGTCCTGTTTCTACCAAGTAATTAGAAGAAAGGACGGAAATACTAGAAATTTCGATTCAAAGCTCCTGTTTTAAGATTCCCAACAAGTCTGCATAGCTTCAAAACAAAAATGAAATGTTTAAATTGCCGGATAAACAAATCCATGAGACCGCGACAGAATTGGACAAAATCCTCCGGGTCTCTGTCCATGAGTATACAGCGGGTTAAAACATGAAAAGTTTGAGAAACAATTGAAAAATCTCTAGTCGAGCTTTTATTTAATCTTCGAATACAAGTTACTTTCATACGTGAAGAGTATAATTGGTATTGTTTTTGTGTCTATTCAAGGCATTAGTGCTGTGGCATTTCAGTCCTGACGCAGTCACGCGGTATAGAACTATGGACTTTGATTTATTTTAGTCGTTGGAACTAATTCGAAGTAGAGGGCCTCGAGTCAAAGGGACGTGAAACCCGTTCGTAACAATGATTGGCGCAATTATAAAAATGCACTCGATTTAGTTTACAAACCTAATCTTATTTCTGGCAAAAAGGCACGAGGTATTTTGAAATGTACTCGACAATTTTTAATACAAGTAATTCGTTTGTGTCAGATTTATAAAATTATACGAAAAACTTCTTTCGATGGGAAAAAGTTAAATTGATTCGCATCGCGAAACTTTTTAATTTAACTGCGAAGCATTCGATATCGATTGAACATTTTTGAATAGATTTACGATAAAGTACGGTTATAAATCGAAATTGAAATAGATTCGTTGTGCATCGGGCTATGAATATCCGTGAATTGTTAACGAATTTATGAACAGCTTTGAAATAATTAGCAAAGGGAATGGTCTAGAATAGAATACGAACACCCGGTAAATTTTTAAATCAGATTATTGTGACACCGGTTCGCGATATTTGGTCGTTAGGTGCGCTGGTGTCTGTTTCTCGGATATATTTTAAGAAGGCGAAGTTCGGTCTACTTGCGAGTTGCGAATGGTGGTTGGCCTGTCACCGTTGGTTGCGTTAACATCAGGTACGTAAATTTCTACCTACCTCGTGTTTGATTCTTTATTCATTATGTTAATGAGGCAATGACTGCGATTTATGTCGACGACTGTTCATCGCGCCGGAGAAAAAAAACTAACTTCATCGACGAGCATCATTTTCTTCGAGTGAAATTTTTGTACGATTACGTAAAATTATTGCACAGACAGAAATAGTCACCTGACTCGGCAACGCGGTTACCTTTCCAATTATTTATTTTTATTTATTTTTTTAATCACCGTTCGTCAAAGAACTGGCGAGACTTTTTTTTTTTCTTTCCACCGATGAATTCTCAAGATTTCGAAGATTACTTAACGAAGCAACGTACTATCCGAATACGATAAAAAATACATAAGATTTTACGTGCATGCATGTATATGTATGCACGAATGCAGTTGTGTAATCGCTATAGGTATTTAGTCTACATAACTAATCCTGCTTATCCTTTCATGACTTTCGTTATAACGAATCTTTTTTTAAAACTTTGTTTGCGCGTTCGTGTACTGTCTGTATACACGTATACGTCACCGCGAAACCTCTACACGTTTTTGAGAGATGAATGTCACATGGGCACAGATAAATGCCTTGTTGACAAGCTTTTTACATCCAACACTTATAATTAATTATTCTAGAAACTTCCGATCTATTGTAATCGGCATTTATTTCTTACGACGAATCCAAATAACGTCCGCGAATTCGGTCGAATTTTTCTAACAGTTTAGGGTTACCCGCGATTTCATGGACAGTCTGACACGGGAAAGGTTAGTGATAACTAGGTCAGTGTCTCGGCACGCCTATCTGTTAATGCCGAATCGCGACGCTTTATTTCGCCTAATATAACATTACTTTACAGAAGTTGCGTGTAATCAATACCACGCTGATTTTTTTATCGTATGTCATAATCGTTGGTAATTCATTATCACATTTATATACGTCGTAATAACAACTTTGTTTTGCCACTTTCAGTTTTTATTTTATCGCGTATTATAAATTCGTAGTAAATTTTTCCCTCTTTGTATCTTGAATTATAATACATAATTTATTGTTACTTCGTCCACGAGTACGTTCGTACTTTAAGCTGTAGTTCTGAAAACCGGTGGTCAATCGGCATGTAAATTTGAAAGAGGAAAAGGGACAGAGGTACGAATCACAAATATAAAATTCTAGTTTCGTGTGTCTAATAGCTTCCGTGATATTAGGTTAGGTTCGGCTATTTTTCCCATTTCGTTGTCGAACGGAGGGTTGCTCGCGACACTGCACATAATTAGGCTGGTGAAACAGTGCATTGCAAATATTTTCCTTATGAATTTGTTCGTTAATGGACCCGTGTTAAACAGTATCGATTAACCGTGGCTGAAATTTTCAATTTCGATCCTGTTCTCCCTCCCCTTTGCCTTTCCCTCCAAATCTCGTTACTGCAACAATCGGGCCACACCGGGGCCTTCCCGAACTTTATCTGCATTTCATCCGATAATGCGATAATGTTTGATTGTTTATTGTGAATTCGCTTAATTTGTTATGACCTTCTTAGCAGCTTATCTGGTTAACATTAAGAGCTCGTTATAAATGTGATAGACAAGGTTATCTATACAAGCCAGACTGCATTGCGGTGCGTTGCACATTGAAATTCAACAGGCTATGCATTAGTGTGCAAGTGAAAGGGCATTTTCCTCGTGACACCGGTCTGCCGTCTGGTAATACCGATATTGATTCCTGTTCAGACATTCATATAAGTGCATACATTTCCATACAGTTATGTACTTAAAAAAAATTTTTTTTTGTACGATAAAGGTACAAAGAAGCAAAGAAGCTTTAATAGTGTAATTTCACTTGCAAAGTAAATACTTGGATATTAAAAATGCTGTTGGTGTTTTTATTTTAATAATAATTTCGATATATGTTAATTTTCTTTTGGAAAAGAATTTTAATCGTTTAATGCGCATTTTGCTTTATATATACATTGTAGTGTCGGGGGGGGCATACTTTGGCTGTATGCCAATTTCTCAAATAAATCTGACATTTTAATATATAAGATATCAAAGCATGTTATTTAGCGTATCGATACAAATTAAAGTTCACCGATATTGCATTATTCGTTTCCAGGGATGCTTCGAACAAATTCCCTTCGTTTCGGTCGATTCTTTTCCAAAAAGTTATTTTTTAATACTTATTCTTAGCGTAGCAGTTAATTAGTTTCGTCATGTATAAAGTTTTACAGTTGGCATGTTACATGTTGTTGCGCAATTCAAGTCTACTATTAAAATTAAAAGGAAATTTAAAAATATTATTTCTAAAATAGGTCGATTAAATTTTATTAATACAGGAGCGTGCGTTCGTAATATTACGTAGCTCTTCTTCTGTCGCATAATGTTCGATAATGATTGACACTTCTTTATCTTTGCACTGAAAACGGAAGATTTAAAATTTAAATGACACAATAGGACAATGATACATCATTGTAAACGAAGATAAGAACGGTCGATTTCAATTAGAGTTATCTGCGAGAAGAAATTGATAAAAATGACAGATTTATCAACATTCTTAAATCATAAGTATTTACTTTTTGAATGAATGAAATACGCAGAAAACTTTGAACAGCTTAATCTTATAGATAAGAAATACTTGCTCCCACTCGCTATTTCAGAGATCCAGTCTGTGAAAAACCATTGCGCATTGTGTACTTACGTTTTAACGTGCCGTGCGATATATATGGAATCTATTTTTCATAATCAAAATAACTGTTCTGTAATTATTGTATGTTTAACGTAAGTTTTTTTTAATATAGGTAAAAATGTATAAGGCAAGGACAGTAATTAGTACATTGGCCCCGCTTGCGCCACGCATGTGCGGGCCTGAAAGGTTTGCATCATGGTTGGTGCGGCACCATCCCCTGACTAGGACCACACAGGCGATGGTTTCGGAACCAATCAGGAAATACACCAACCGTGTAGCAACAGAACCTTTCCTGAATGGCAGTTCCAGTTCTTACGTAGAAGAAATGTATAATGCGTGGTTACAAGATCCCCAGAGTGTACATGTGGTTAGTAATAAATTCTAACTTGACCGATATAAATATTTTTACTAATTAAATAATGACTACCAATGTTCTATAAATTTAATCATTTTTATTTATATTTTATAGTCGTGGGATGCATTTTTTCGTAGCAGCACCGCTGGGGCTGGACCAGGTCTTGCGTATCAGGCTCCACCCTCCCTTGCTCCAAGTCATAACCAAATACCATTGGGAGCGTTGTTACCACTCGGTAGTGGCGGATCTCAATTGAGCCAGATACCCGTTAATGAGAAAATAATTGATGACCATCTGGCTGTTCAAGCTATTATTCGATCTTACCAGGTATATATATAGATTTTGCATAATATTTGCAAAATGACAATTACATTTATGTTTCTACGAAACATTTTTACTTTCTTTTTGGCCGTTCTTGGCATTCCGAAGAGTACATTTTTAAATATGCTTATCAGACGTACAGGCAACGTACTATACTTCATTTTTGATATATTGATCTCTTCTTATGTAAAACGGTTTTGTTATGATACTTTATCGCCTTATGTAATATCAAAACTTACAGTAAAATTTTGTTTTCTTGGCAGTAAAATAAAAATATTTCTTAAGACAATGTCGTAAAAAAAGTAATAATTTTTTATGGCCATAATTACAATAAATAAAGATTTATTTCCGTATTGCTTTTATTGACTATAAGGAATTGTTATTTTCCCTATCACATTGGCTCAAATAGTATATTATCGAATAAAACAATCACTAGATATTAATTTTAAATATTTTTATTGAGAAATGCTTCTTAAACAAATTGATAATTTTTCTTTCGAAACTAGTATTTAATATTAATATATTGAAACACTAAAGCATGAATTACAGAAACATTATAGATATATGTTTTAGGCTGAGGGGGGGAGGGGGTGTGTTTACTATCATAATGCATGTGATATGAGTTTCTTTTCAATTTCTGCGACCAACTTTTGCCATTATTAATAAAATTATATTCACGTAATAATTCATATTTTAACTTTTAAAATCAATGTATAAATACTTGTTTTGCAGCTAAAAGAATTACAAGTTGCAAAATTTGGGACACGAGAAATTGACGAAGGAACTATTTTATTAGGGGCTATCATGTGCATCATGTCATGTATCATTAATTTTTCACCTCGTCTTATCAGTACATAAGAAAACATATGTACATGTATATCAAGCATGAATTGGGAGTCCAAAATCATGTCTAAGTATTACATAATAGCCTCGTTTACTTATTATAAAATTAGCTGTTACTGCATCTTTTCACTTCGAGCATGTTTTTTCAACCAAGTACCCCTCGATATTAGCATTAAAATTTCAACGTTTGTAATACGAATTATATATTTATACGATTATTATTAGAGGCGCGTGAGACCCGAAAATTCTCACGCACCTCTAGTTATTATTAATTGATTAAAAATTCTCCACGCGTACGTTCTCTTTACAATTAATGGGACAACCAAAGAGCTAGTATAATTCACAAGAATCGTGGATATTAAAACGTAATGGGGTGTCTAAAATTAAATTTAAATAATTTCAAGCGGCACATGTAAATTTTTTACAAAGAGGGGGAGAGTAACTAATATTTTTATATTCTGTAAAGTAGAACATACAGGGTGTTCGGTCAACCGTGGGGAAAAATTTAATGGGGGATTCTAGAGGCCAAAATAAGACGAAAATCAAGAATACCAATTTGTCGATGGAGGCTTTGTTAAAAAGTTATTAACGTTTCAAGTTCCGCCCATACTGAATTTTTTTCTCAAAAAATGCGCAGGATTTCGGGGGTATGTCTGTTCACCAAAAATGATTGTAATTGACCCCCGCAACGGAAAATAATTTTTCCAGAACGATTTGAAATTTTTGAATTTTGTCGAAAAATTTCAAACCTCGAATTTTTTTCTCGAAACTGGGTAGGATTTCAAGTGTATGTCTAATGACCAAAAATGATTTTAATTGACCCCTGCAACTGGAAATAATTTTTCCAGAACGATTTGAAATTTTTGAGTTTAATTGTTAATAACTTTTTAACGAAACCTCCGTGAACAAATTGGCATTCTTGATTTTCGTTTTATTTTGGCCTCTAGGATCCCTCATTAAAATTTTTCCCACGGTTGGTAATTACACCCTGTATAATTGATATTGCCTCGAATTAATTTAACGCTCACTCTTTCGTAGATTTAGAAACTAAAACTTGAATGTGTTGCAGTGAGAATCAGAGTTTGTGAATAAAATAATTGTCGATTGCATTTTCGATATAACAGTGTCATATCTTTATAATATAGTAATATGTAGTCAAATTTAATAAGTAGAAAAAAAATGATATACATTGGGGGTCTTCTTGGGATTATTCGTTAAACATATAGGCTCGAGGTCACTTAGTTGCCGATTTGGACCCACTCGGTATCATGCAATCAGAAATGATACATACACATTATGCAGCCCGCAAGGGGTCTCCAGAACAGGTTCTACGGCAATATATGCTTGGTAAGGCTCTTTCCCAAAACAATTCCATAAATTATTAATTTAGCCAGTTTTCATGTATCTATAAGGTAAAGGTGTATAAAGCCATAATGTCTGTCGCTGAGACAAGTGATAATTCGTATTTGTTTTTATGATTTTTCTCACAGTTGAGACAAATGTTAGCACTTCCAAATTATTAAAACTTTTAAGACACCTTCACCCAATATATATATATATATATATATCATACATCACCTCATATATATCAAAATCATGGTCTCTATCAAAACACATTAACTCCTTCTTAACTATTTTCGCAATTTTCTTCCTCTGATCCGATATTCTATGTACCATATAATAAGCAAATTTCGTATTTTCTTGTCTTTAAAATTTTAAGTATATTACTTTATTTTAAAAAAGTAATTTTTTAATTTAATGAAAATAACTTCGCTCCAAATTATTTGAAATCTGATTTAAATAATTGAAGTATTATTTTTCATACGTCAATACTTTTCGTGTACAAAATTGGTGAAATTATAAATTCAGTTTAGTATTAATAAAATAAAACAATGATAGCATTGTTCAAATTTCATAGATATTGAGAAGGTGTTATGTGGCTGTTATTCCATGGCAGGTTTTCACTGATACTGAAAATGTTTATACTAAGAAAAAAAAAAAAAAAAATTGGGATGGTAATTGGTTTACGTTTTATGGTTTATATTAATGTTATGGTAATATGTACTGAAAGATATTTGCAAATGACGTGTTTTGTTGTTGCTATTCTGTAGTTAGAGTGTTAGTATTCATTTTCAAATGATACACGTACATGAGTATGTCTAAGGTAAGAAAATGTATTTGCAAATTCTCGCTTCGCATGCTTGTTAATGATGTTTATTTTTAACTTTATCTTTACATATTCGCAACTCATTGTATGGAATGTTTGTTTGTTAAACAGTTTACCATTAATGTTGTGGCTATTACATTTGATGATTTCTGTCACGAGTCGTTTTCGTATTATTTCAATTGTATTTATTTCTTTGATAAATTTTTAAGAAGCAAATAACATTGTTTAACGGGAAATTTTGATTTACTGTATCTGTCAAGCGACCCTCGGCAGGATTTTGTGTCCCAAACATGGATCCTGAGGTAGAAGTGTTTTATCACTTAGACTTATCGGATTTATCCAATTGGATAAATAAATAAAAAAGATTTTTATTTCTTAGACGGTGTAACCAGACAAAGATTTCAAAACTCAGTCATATAACAGGTCGAATAATGAAAATGTGTAACGTCAACATGCTTTAAGATAATACTATTAACAAATGCTTATTATTACTATGTTTACTTGTAATTAATACATGATGAGATGTTTTTAAATGTACTTCTTTTTCTTTTTTGTTAATACTTACATGTCATTAACGAATGTTCAATAAATTCACTGCAGGTAGGGGACGTATATGTTCTATATTGTATGTTCCATTTGAATCATACTTATTGTAATTTCATTGCTACTTTTATTGAACTTTATGGAGTGTAACTAAAAGAAATGGTTGCAGTGAATATATTAAACAAAACATCAATCACAGTAATTAATCTGAATATATGTAACGAGTTGTTTAAATTTAACAAATTAAAAACTACTTAGTTCGTATGAATGTGGCGTTAAATTGACAGATCCGTGGCCATCATATCGCTAAATTGGACCCACTCGGCATCAGCAGCGCTGATCTTGATGATAGACATCCACAAGAGTTGCTCTATAGTCATTATTCATTTGGTAAGCCCATATGAACGTGTCTCTACATAAATTAAAGGACTAAAGATACTATGCGATGCATATCAAATCATATACTCTTGATCTTTTAAAAGATTTCAATGAATTAGACTGCTTGGAACAAGCTCTATTTGTCTTGTTTTCTTTCTTTCATAAACTTATTTTGACAATTGTTGTAAAAACATTGTTTATCAATTATTTTCTTCATTGCAATATTATATTTGCTATTGTTATTTTTATTATTATCATTCATATGCCATCATTATATTTCCTTCCTGGACACAAAATATAGCATTTTATTGAATGCAGTGAATATGTAATTTCAAAATTTTTATAGCACTGTAGCTAAATAATTAGCATTATATGAATTAAAATGAGATTAATAGAATTATTCAATTATGTTTCTCAGAAAGTTTTATTATAGTATGTGAATGAAGAACTCTCATACCCATTCGTTAATTTAATTATTCAGTTTAAGTATAATGTCCACAGGAAACAGAGCACGTACTACTTACTCGCAGGAACTTCAATACCGAGTAGCTGCACTTATGAAACGTATGTAAAAATCGCAACCCGAAAAAGGAAGTTCTGATTAAAGCTCTGTGAGTTATTAGTATCTTTGGGAGGCGCTGGTTCATTATGGGATTACAGAAAAAATTGATATCGTTGACAAACTGTAAAGGTGCTTGGGTCCTTCGCATAAATATTGATTTTAAAGATTGCTATATTTTGCTGTAAATATACTTGTGCCAGGAATAACTTCTCAGCATTTCATTTGGAAGGATTGGAGGAGGTATAACGAATAAACAAACATACTGATCAATGGCAATTTATACAGGATGTTCGACCCCTGGGAAAAATTTTAATGGGGGATTCTGGACCCCAAAATAAGACGATAATCAAGAATACCAATTTGTTTATGGAGGCTTCGTTAAAAAGTTATTAACAATTAAATTCAAAAATTTCAAATCGTTTTGGAAAAATTATTTTCGGTTGCGGGGGTCAATTGCAATTATTTTTGGTCATTAGACATACACTTGAAATCCTACCCAGTTTCAAGAAAAAAATTCGAGAAGGTTTGAAGTTTTTCGACAAAATTCAAAAATTTCAAATCGTTTTGGAAAAATTATTTTCGGTTGCGGGGGTTAATTGCAATCATTTTTGGTCATTAGACATACACTTGAAATCCTACCCAGTTTCTAGAAAAAAATTCGAGGAGGTGCGAAATTTTTCGATGGAAAAAAAAAATTTCAAATCGTTTTGGAAAAATTATTTTCGGTTGCGGGGGTCAATTGCAATTATTTTTGGTCATTAGACATACACTTGAAATCCTACCCAGTTTCAAGAAAAAAATTCGAGAAGGTTTGAAATTTTTCGACAAAATTCAAAAATCTCAAATCGTTCTGGAAAAATTATTTTCGCTTGCAGAGATCAATTACAATCATTTTTGGTCATTAGACATACACTTGTAATCCTACTCAGTTTCAAGAAAAAAATTCGAGAAGGTTTGAAATTTTTCGACAAAATTCAAAAATTTCAAATCGTTCTAAAAAAATTATTTTCGGTTCCGGGGGTCAATTGCAACCATTTTTGGTGAATAGGCATACCCCCGAAATCTTACCCATTTTCTAGAAAAAAATTAATTACGGGCGGAACTTTAAACGTTAATAACTTTTTAACAAAGTCTCCATCAACAAATGGGTATTCTTTATTTTCGTCTTATTTTGGCCTCTAGAATCCGCCATTAAAATTTTTCCCAGGTGTGGCCGTACACCCTGTATACAATAATATGATTATAATTACATTATACTTGAGTAAAAGTATGATAAATTATTTTTTAACTATTGATTTGTTACTTCCTCTTTAGCTTCCTATTTATTTATTAAATGCATTTTTTCTCATTTATATTTTTCTGACACAATCTTCTTACATTTATACTTTTTTTTTCTACTATATTTTGTGTAATGTGTGATTGAGAATATGAAAGTCCCATTCTTTGTATCTATTAGATTTCTTTATTACTAGTTCAGTTCTGTTAGTGATTGTTTTGACTAATGATGCTTTATTTGGATTTACAGCTTTACGTTCTATCGAAATTTGTTTTTCTTAGTTTTCCATTTATTTCTACTTTTTACAAGTATTACGGAGGAGGTTTGTTACACATATTTTTGACAATTGTTGACAATATTTTGCGCATGTATATATCATTTGCCAAATATTTTGCACACGTACGCATACGGCATTATTAAATAAAACGATTTGCTTAATTACACGAGACAAATATACAAAATAATATTACTTTCGATTATTACGTTTTACAATACTTTTATCGCGTACAAATCAATTTGTATAATTCTATCCGTTTATACAAAAATTCGTTTCTTTCATTTTTCGTTTCACACGGCTCACATTTTCAGTATCGGTCATCCGAAATAAAATGTATACAAAATGGCGAAAGAACAGTAATTGTGCGTTGTATACAATGTATTATATATAACAAGTAAAATTTGTGTCATATTTCATATCATCTACTATACAAGTAATACAGTTAAATGCCATAGCTTTCATAAATACACTTTTTTAAAATTGTTTAAAAGCAAATATTTTTCTAGTAAGCGTTACGATCTCGATCGTTAACGAAGCCATGGCATTTAAATCCGTTCGTGGCTCGTTTCGTTTCAAAACGTGACAAGTATTTTAATATTAAATTTCTACAGAGGATTCGGACATGGATCGTATTTTCAAATTGCCGTCCACCACTTTTATCGGCGGCAAAGAAAAGTCGTTGCCGCTTCGTGAAATTTTGAAACGATTGGAGGCCACCTACTGCGGCCACATCGGCGTCGAATTCATGTTCATCAATTCCCTGGAGCAGTGCAATTGGATTCGTCAGAAAATGGAGACACCCGGTATCATGGAAATGACAAACGACGAGAGGAGACTTATTTTGGCCAGATTAACTCGCGCCACCGGGTATCTAAAATAGCAACATTGAAAAATTGGGACGCCTCTACGGAACACAGCGAACGCCATTTTGTTAATTTCTTTCATTATCATTTTTTAGATTCGAGGCGTTCCTCGCGCGCAAGTGGTCGTCCGAGAAGAGGTTCGGATTGGAAGGATGTGAAATTCTGATACCCGCCATGAAGCAAGTAATTGATAAATCTACCGAATTAGGCGTCGAATCCATCGTTATGGGTATGCCTCATCGTGGTCGTCTGAACGTTCTCGCCAACGTTTGTCGTAAACCTTTGAGTCAAATATTCACGCAGTTCGCGGGTCTCGAAGCAGCCGACGATGTAAGCACGCGACAAATTTCATACGAATTCTCGTCCCGTTGCTCGTCGATGTATTTCATATACGATTATAATTCGGTGATGCGTTAGGGTTCTGGCGATGTCAAATATCACTTGGGAACATACATCGAACGTCTTAACCGTGTAACGAACAAGAACATTCGTTTGGCCGTTGTTGCGAATCCATCTCATTTGGAGGCCGTTGATCCGGTAGTACAGGGAAAGACTCGTGCCGAACAATTCTATCGAGGCGATGGCGAAGGAAAGAAGGTACGTTACCTATACGGTATACAGGGTGTTCGGTTACCTCTGGGAAAAATTTTCATGGGAGATTCTATACGCCAAAATAAGATGAACATCAAAATTTCAAATCCTTCTGGAAAAATTATTTTCGGCTGCGGGGGTCCATTACAATCATTTTCGGTCATTAGACATACACTTGAAATCCTTCCCGGTTTCGAGAAAAAAATTCGAGAAGATATGCCATTTTTCGACAAAACTACAAACTTTCAAATCGTTCCGGAAAAATTATTTTCGATTGCAGAGTTCAATAACAATCATTTTTGGTTATTAGGCATATACTTGAAATCCTACCCAGTTTCGAGAAAAAAATTCTAGAAGGTATGCCATTTTTCGACAAAATTACAATCTTTCAAATCGTTTTGGAAAAATTATTTTCGGTTGCGGGGGTCCATTACAATCATTTTCGGTCATTAGACATACACTTGAAATCCTTCCCGGTTTCGAGAAAAAAATTCGAGAAGGTATGCCATTTTTCGACAAAATTATAAACTTTCAAATCGTTTTGGAAAAATTATTATCGGCTGCGGGGGTCCATTACAATCATTTTCGGTCATTAGACATACACTTGAAATCCTTCCCGGTTTCGAGAAAAAAATTCGAGAATGTATGCCATTTTTCGACAAAATTACAAACTTTCAAATCGTTCTGGAAAAATTATTTTCGATTGCGGAGTTCAATAGCAATCATTTTTGGTTATTAGGCATATACTTGAAATCCTACCCAGTTTCGAGAAAAAAATTCGAGAAGGTATGCCATTTTTCGACAAAACTACAAACTTTCAAATCGTCCTGGAAAAATTATTTTCGGCCGCGGGGGTCCATGACAATCATTTTCGGTCATTAGACATGCTCTTGAAATCCTTCCTGGTTTCGAGAAAAAAATTCAAGAAGGTATGCAATTTTTCGACAAAACTGCAAACTTTCAAATCGTCCTGGAAAAATTATTTTCGGTTGCGGGGGTCAATTACAATGATTTTTGGTCATTAGACATACCCCTGAAATCTTATCCGTTTTCTAGAAAAAAATTCGAGAAGATGTGAAGTTTTTCGGCGGGAAAAAAGAATTTCAAATCGTTCTGGAAAAATTATTTTCGGTTGTTCAACAAATTGGTGTTCTTGATTTTCGACTTATTTTGGCCTCTAGAATCTCCCATTAAAATTTTTCCCAGTTTGTGTCTCAGAAATAGTAAGTTTTAGGACATTTGTACCTTTAATATTTCTATACTCGGAATTAAAGAAAAGCTTTTTGACTCTAATTACTGAATTTGTTGCAAAACAGGTAATGTCCATTCTTTTGCACGGTGACGCCGCGTTCTGTGGACAAGGTATTGTTTTCGAAACTATGCACTTGTCCGACTTGCCCGACTATACGACACATGGTACCGTTCACATTGTTGTGAACAACCAAATTGGATTTACCACCGATCCTAGGCATTCACGGTCTTCTCCGTACTGTACCGGTGAGTTTAATCTCTAACGTAGAGACCAGCGTTGAGCAAAATTGAATCAAAGTAACTGTTAGAATTAAAGAAAACAAATTAAATTTATACAATATTTGTTTATTAATTTGATATAAAAAGAAAATATGTTAACGATTTAGAAAAGAAAAAGGAAACAAAAAGACTGTAATAATTGGACGCACATTGTGCCATCCTCGTGGGCACACACACACACACACACACAGAAAACCACAGACACGTCATAAAAACATAAAAAGGGGACATACAGCAGTGCAGCCAACCACACAAAAACAAAAGTAACTTTTACTACCACAAGCGTTAAACCAGATATCAAAACTAATTATAGAAACATATTGTTAACAGTAACGATTGAATCAGTCGATTGATGCTCAACTCTGGTAAAAATCGATATTTTTTTACACAAATGTTCACCGTGTCCGAACTAACATTTCAACAGATGTTGCGAGAGTAGTCAACGCGCCCATTTTCCACGTTAATTCCGACGACCCGGAAGCGGTGATGCACGTTTGCAAAGTGGCTGCGGAATGGAGAGCAACTTTCCACAAGGATGTCGTTATCGATATCGTATCCTACAGGCGAAACGGTCACAATGAAATCGACGAGCCGATGTTCACGCAACCTCTAATGTACCGTAAAATCAAGAAAACTCCACCAGCTTTGGACAAATATGCCAACTCCCTTATCACCGACAGCGTTGTAACGTCCGAAGAAGTTAAGGTATTAAAGTAAACAAATTAAAAAAATCACGCGCGCACAAATACGTCGAAGAAGATTCTTTATATCGATATTATTCTGCAGGACGTAAAAGATAAGTACGAGAAGATCTGCGAGGAAGCATACACCAATGCTAAGCAAGAGACGCACATTAAGTATAAGGACTGGTTGGATTCTCCGTGGTCTGGTTTCTTTGAAGGCAAAGACCCGTTGAAAGTGTCTCCTACCGGCATCAAAGAAGATACGCTTGTTCACATTGGAAAGAAATTCTCGTCGCCGCCTCCTAATGCCGCCGAGTTTGTTGTTCACAAAGGTAAATATTGTTTTTCCTTTTAGAAATTTATAATTACTTCTGTAGGATTAATTAATCGAAATATCTTATAGGTATCGAACGTATTCTGAAATCTCGTATGGAAATGATCGAGGCTCGAACAGTCGATTGGGCTCTCGGCGAAGCTATGGTTTTCGGTTCTCTTCTCAAAGAGGGCATTCACGTTAGATTGTCGGGTCAAGACGTGGAGAGAGGAACATTCTCGCACAGGCATCACGTGCTTCATCATCAAACTGTGGATAAGGCTACTTACAAGCCGTTGTGCAACCTTTATCCAGACCAAGCTCCGTATACCGTGTGCAATAGTTCTTTGTCGGAGTTTGGCGTGCTTGGTAAGACTAGAAAGTTTAACACTGGAAAGACTGAAACTTAGTATATACCTATATTGCCCAAAAGCATTCAAAATGACTTCCTTGGGCAATCTAGTGTTAACGAGTATATCGTAGCGAATGAAACTAAGTGTCTTCCCGAACTTTCAGGATTCGAATTAGGTTATTCCATGACGAATCCCAACGCGTTGGTGTGCTGGGAGGCCCAGTTTGGCGATTTCAACAACACGGCGCAATGTATAATCGATCAGTTTATCAGCAGCGGTCAAGCTAAATGGGTTCGCCAATCGGGTCTTGTCATGTTGCAACCTCACGGGCTTGAAGGGATGGTGAGTTAATTTCCATATACGCTGAAAAGCTTTTGAACATCTCCACGAAGCCGCTGTGTATAAACAAGGTGATAAATATGCGCAGGGTCCGGAACACTCGAGTGCTCGACTGGAACGTTTCCTCCAAATGTCCGCTGACGACCCAGACTATTTCCCCCCGGAAAGCGAGGAGTTCGCTGTACGCCAGTTGCACGACATCAACTGGATCGTGGCTAATTGCAGCACGCCCGCGAATTACTTCCACATTCTGAGGAGACAGATCGCGCTACCGTTCAGGAAACCTTTGATCTTGATGACACCGAAGTCGTTGCTTCGTCACCCGGAAGCCAAGTCCAGCTTCGACCTGATGAAGGAGGACACGGAGTTCCTCAGAGTGATACCGGAGGAAGGCAAAGCTGCTCAAAATCCCAGTAACGTTAAACGGGTGGTGTTCTGCTCCGGAAAAGTCTTCTACGATTTGAAGAAAGCGCGCGCGGAGAAGCAACTGGACGACAAAGTCGCTATTGCCAGAGTTGAACAGGTGAATGATAAAGACATACTACTAGCACTATGCCGTCCGCGCGTCTAATTTAGATTTTTTCTATTTTCTCGAAATTGTAAGGATAGACATATGCAAATAAGTACAAGATTTTTTTGTATCATATGTTTATCTATTTATTTATATTTTGTTGGACACTTAGTATTTATCTTTTAAATGAAACGAAGCAAAGCAATGCCCGAGGTGAAGCGCAATATTCTGAATTACTGAAATACGTATCAGGTGTTCTAATGTCTTCTAGTTCTTCACAATCTTCAAATTCGTACGAAACATCGGACAAGATGTCCACACACTCATCGCGTATAATTGTGTCTTCTTTTTCGTTTGCAGGTTTTTGTGAAAATACAAAGTTGTTACGTCTGTGATTTACTGTTAGTTAAACAGAACACGCAATATTAACTTTCGTTCTACAGTTTCGAATACCACGATACAGCCATCGGCGCTTGCGCGGTAATTTCCGAGTGGCACCGACGTGGAGCCACCGTCACTTACCCGTCAGTCTTCGCATGGCACCAACCGTGGAGCCATCGGACGTCATAGTGCTAGCAATCGTTCGGGTCCCTTCTTTATAATTCGTTCTGCAATTCTATATTCTTTACAGATTACACCTTTCCCGTACGATCTGGTTAAGAAGGAAGCTGCAAAATACCCCAACGCGGACCTCATATGGTCGCAGGAGGAGCATAAAAACCAGGGTGCGTGGTCGTACGTTCAGCCCAGATTCCACACAGCCCTAAACGGAACACGCGCTGTGACGTAAGTACCACGTACAATAGCACAATTTGAAAACCATTGTTTTGTTTACAGTAATCCGATTTAAGATTGCGTTACTGCAAGTTCCAGTAGTCTAGAATCACTGTACTTGTATGAAATTTCATTTTGGCGCAATGTGGCATACGTTCTCTAGTGCATTGAACATTGCTTGTGTATCTTTGTTTAATCGATTCATTCTTTGCGATCAGTTGATCGATGTAGCACAAAAAAAGATATAGTTTCCTGTCGAATAAGGTACAGAATCACCTTATTTCGTTGCCATAATTCGTTTCTGATACCTTTAGCTGTTCACATGGCCCACATTTTTTTTTTTTTACTCGCGTCACAGTCGCGTTTATAGAATCTCGACACACATTACGATATCACGAATATATGCAATGCCTGTCAGCACGAGATGTATCGATGTTAAGAATATCGGCGACTGCTTCACGCGCGATTTTTTGTTAAGCGAAGTAATTGGGCCATGTTACAGCGGCGGAAGTACGTCATGCAAGAGTGACGGAGGGTGGTTAAGTGGTTGGTTTTCATCGTCTAAACCGACGACGACAACTCCATCCGACCCGCAATCAGTAGAGTCTGATAAACCCACACAGAGAACAGTGAGGTAACGTTGATCACAGCATTTAATCGGGACACGGTTGATAATTTTATTTAATTAACAATCTTCAGCGAATCGTTTATGTTCGTTCTTGTTTTCCATTTCAGTAGACGTAGTCGATACGGTGTGATTTCAGGATTATAACATTCGCGGTAGCGTTTATTTCGATCAACAGATGGGCGTTTTTCTATTTCAGGTACGTTGGCCGTCCTACAGGAGCCTCGCCCGCGACAGGAAGCAAAATGCAGCATCTCAAAGAACTGAAACAGTTGCTTGACGATTCTTTCGCTATTTAATTACTCTTCGTAACATTGTGTAGAACACACATTTTATTTATTTATTCGCATTAAAGTTGTTATATTACTTTGTCCTTGCTCTACATACACTGTTACAGAGGTCAACACAATCTGAATAATTTCTCCATTAACTAATTCATTTATAGAATCACCGCACGCGCAAATATTTTCCTGATGGCGGGTTAAAACGAATTCAATATTTTCCATTTGGTAATTTTAAAACTTCTCTTCTCTTGTCTTCTCTTTTCTTCTCTTTTCTTGATTCTTCCATTCATTAAATTTTTTCTTTCCTCTTAATTATGTACATACACATTCGCAATGAGTAATCCATGTAAATATGTGTATATTCCGTTCTCGTTTTAACGTTCGATCGAGATTACGTATTTTTATTTTTTTTTCCCCCCGTCGAGGCCGGGCGACGTATTTGTATTAGTACGGGAATTGCGTGTCGAGCTTAGTTTATAGGAAATTTTTTATTCGTGTAAATATACCGAAGGTACGGAAATTACGTTGATACGAACAACTTGAAACATGCGTTACTCATTGTTTCGTCCCCGAAGATCTTGCATAAATATGTATGCTATATATCCATTGAAAATATTCGCGCGTTGACGTCTGTGTTTTATTTTGTTAATATGTCGATAAAGTAATATTACGAAACGAATAAGTTTAAAGAGAAAGTATTATTTTTAATTTATACAACATTTTACGTTGAACGTAAATGTACAGAATAGTTGTGACTGCGGAGTTTTGAATGAAACTTTTCGGGGGTTCTTGCTGTGGTTTATATACGGCGATTTTTGTACTTGATTCTTTTTTTTTTCATGCCGTTGCGATGGACTACCAATTAGTTTAATTCTTTATTGCCGCTCTATTGTAAATAATTAAATGATTGGCAGGTCGGCCAGGTGTATACTAAGCGATCAAGTTGTAGCGTTAGAGTCGATTACGTAACGACACGTACACGTTCGTTCTCGATGATTCAGCAACGAATAAAATGTGTATCGACGGAATCTAGTCGTAACGTTACTCCTCGAAAAGTTTCAATAATTTCTCCCTTTTAAAATGAGTATGGGGGAGTAGAAAAGAAATAGCTAGTACGTCATTGCAACACTAGAAAGTAATAAATGAATCAACGACGCTGTTGTGCGTCGATTGGCTGCATAAATTTTGAAGGCACAGTATTTATATTCTTCTATGTACGAATTGTTCGAAAGATGGATTTTATGGATGGAATATTGATCGTAGGTCACGTTAATTGGAAAATATTGTATTGAATTCGAATCGATCAAGTTTGAGTTCGATCAAATTCAGTGCAAACGACTTGTAAACCTTCTTTTATTTGGACATACTCGGAACGATAGTATTGCGATATCTTGAAACCTGCTAGGATATTTAGGTGCAATGTGGTCCAATATGAAATTGTGGCGCTGTTATTCCACTCATAATTTTTTGTTGTTATATGCATAATAATGCCGGATACAGCCATGTATGCTTCAATAATAAAAATTAGTAATTAGTCGAATACTGTAGCACTTTATATTAAAAAAAAAACTAAAAATATAAATGTTATCGTATATTCCTTATTATACCTGAATTAAATTTTATTAGCTCGCTTTAATAATCTCGATACTAATTATCTTTTACAATTACTCAGGTCTGATGGCGGATGGAACAGGAAGACAACGAAACAACACACCTACTTTATGTTGCGCATAATCCAAATTTATAAATTTTTTTGTTTATTTTATTTACTTCGTTCGAAATCTCAGGTAAGAATTTCTTACATTTTTCAAAACTTCAATCTCCACGTACGTAACCATTTTTCTATATGTCAACAATAATAATATTTTTTAATTTTTTTATTTCATTTAATCGTTGCTTATTATTTGGCAATTTTTCGTTACCGTTTATTGCATCATACAATAAATAAAATATACATATATTTATATATTATAAATAAGATATATTTATAGCATCAGTTCAGAAATTAAATTCAGTAATCAGTTTGTCCCAGCACACTGTACATAATCCTCTTGAAGCTGTTACTTTGGTGGATCTTCTCACCGTCGTCGTCGTTTATCTAAAAAGAAACGGCGAATTTTCCTTCGCATAATTCGGAACCGTCATGATATCGAGAAGCTTTAAAAAATGCTCGACATGCATTGCGGTATCCATTACGAGTATTTCAGTAAATTGCTTTTTTTTAAGTTTAGCTTCGATCCGAGAGATTTGTTCGATGAAAGCCTATACTCGTATGTGGATAATTTATTGAACAGTTCTCTGGAAAAATGGCTTGCGTCGCGTTTCATAGATTTTACAGGATACCAGCGTAACATACGCCATTTTTCATTTTAAGGAATATACACTGAGAAATTTTAATAGGGGATCTAGTCCGAATTATATGATAGAAATATTTTTTATTTTTGAACTGGGAAATATTTTAATGGGGGATTCTAGAAGCCAAAATAAGACGAAAATCAAGAATACCAATTTGTTGATGGAGGCTTCGTTAAAAAGTTATTGACGTTTCAAGTTACGCCTGTGGAACGGCAATCTGCGAACAGCTGCGCGCGCACCATAGCGCGACAGTGTGAACTTTAAACCTTAATAACTTTTTAACGAAGCCTCGATCAACAAATTGGTATTCTTGATTTTCGTCTTATTTTGGCCCCTAGAATCACCCATTAAAATTTTTCCCGATGGTAGCTGTACACACTGTATAATAATGTCGCTGAAGAGAAAGCGAAGTTCGAACATATATAACATCCGCCATTTTGTTTTTTCAGGGAACCATTCAATCAGAATAGTCAACGTTCTGCAATAGCGCCATGTCTCACGCGTACAAGCAGATGCATGCAGGCGGTGATACACAAATTACACGTACAAGTCGGAGTAAGTTTTAATAGTCGTTGACGCGATCCTTTATGAAAGGGAGGGGGAAGGGACGTCTGTAATTTCCACCCTTGATCAAATAAATATCAACTATTAATTTGTCGCATCGTTTTTACAGTGGGAAGAAATGAACGTCTGAGTTTCAACAGCAGGACGAACAATTAAAAACATGAAAAGAAGTATGACCGAACGATCTATCAAGGACGTGTGAATGTTCGTTGCATTACGATGTTCAAAGAAAATCGCATTCGACGCGTGCAAGTTCATGCAATCACATGCGGAGTACGACTACGAAGTTCGAGATACGATGATAGACAAGTTGCACAAACTCCTTTTTTCTGTTTCACTCTGATACGAAGTTCGAGTTTCATTAATTTATACTTACGAATGGTCCAGCGGGACTCTTCGGTCGAGCGTAGTTTACCTGAAATCAACGACGACGAAATGTTCGAGCATTTTTTTTTTTTACTTTCGAGAGCTAGCGATTGTAATGAAAATACGACGTGTACCCTGTTTTGGTTGACTTTCTGCGGCGAGAAAACACCGGTACGCGCCGGCTGTCTCATCTCCTGGACCGTGTCGCCAAGTGATTCCTCTTGCAGAGCTTTGTAAGCCTCGCTCTTACTCGGGTCGTACTTCACCGGTTTCTTCGGGCTGTGTCGTCGTATCGCATGTGTACACACGGGCTACTTTTAATTGATTTGCTTTGCGATATCGTCGTTTTCGGTTAACAGCAGCCAGGGGGTTATGTATCGCCAATTGCTTGTTCGAGAGCGACTTTTCGGTCCGCTTCCGAGCTCTTATTCGTTAATCTAATTACAAACACGTTCTAGCTAGATGCACGACGCTTTCCTTCGAGGATTACGTTCCGTGTCTCGTCTCCTGTCTCTTTCAATTATTTCAGTCAGTCCTGTCCACAGGCGTGGATTAATTATTACGCGCTCGGTGCATACGACACCTAGCGTGAAACGATAGCAACTATCCTACGGTCGACGACTACGGAAGTTGCGTTTCGTTTGACGCGACTTATGAGGGGGAGGGATGGTCTTGAGTAGTTATAATCGTTTGCCTCTATCGATACAAAAATCTTTCCTAAAAATTAGATTTCGACCTCTGCAAAAGAACACGTCCAGTATTTCTAAATATTTAGTTTATTATTTTAAAAAAATTAGGTCACTTAAAAGATGGGGGTTGAAGGCGTAGCCCCTACTCCCCCAGCCTGCCCCTTAATTCGTGTCTGTGTTTACTATACTAAAGAACAGTTGTAGACAGGACGGATTATGGCAAATGTTTTTTTTGTAGTATTTTTGTTAGAAACAACGAATGTTGTTAATCCTTTAAACCACGGTCTGTAATTCTCGAGATATTGCTCTTATTACGTAAGCATCGACAATTAGTAAGACTACTTATTTTCACGTATATATCATACGATTAATTGTTGATTATTGTCTACTCTACAGCATGCAAGAATATAAGGATTGTTATTTCGCAAACTTTCGCGTGGTTTGTTTCTCTAACTTTACTGCCGGTTTTGTCGATACTGTTTCGTGACAGCTACAATAAACGACCAACAGTTACGTCACGATTTTAATGCACGATCTAAAAACTAATATTGTAACGAGACGATAAAAGTCGAGTCGGTAATTGTTGACGGCGTTATCGTAGAGTATTGGAACAGCGAAGAAACTGCCGCGCTAGAAGCATCGAAAAACGTCTCGAACTATAGATAATTAATTTGGCTTATTAAATTGCGGCCACACGTTCTTCGAGGAGGCGGCTTTGGCCTGCTCCTTCAAGATTCTCGCTTGCTCCTGTATTTCCTGTTTCTGTTTCACGAAGGAAAAGTCTATGAAAATGCTGGAAAATAAACAAACCGCACGTGAGTGTAATCCATTCGCTAGATACACGGCTACGTAAGAACCGAGTTGCATTTTCTGTTCTTCGTCCATATTTCGTCGCTATAACGTTTCCGGCAGTCTCAACAAATCGATAGATCATCGATGTAGAAGATCTCTACTCGTCGGTAGAATACGTTCGTTTTCGAGTTTAATAATTTTGTCTGCCTACGAGTTGATTATTAGTAAGCGTCTCATGCGACTGATTCTCCCACACAGCATGGAACATTGCAGAAATATTTTTAGATTAGGATCAGATTGGTAATTGAACAGATTTAGAGACAGAAATTTCAGAAATCTGCAATAAGACGTAGGAATGTTTCTTACAACATTCAGGGAATGAAAATGAATTAAATGCTGTCATGTATTGTTGTAACGTTGCAAATGTAATTGCAACACTGTTAACGAAAAGAAAGAATTTCTAGTAACGTTCTGTGCTGTGTAGGACGTTTGAATGTTTCACCGTTATCTGTGCATAGAAAACTCGATATCTTCAAGATTAACAATAAATATTAAAGTTCGATGTATTAAGATCGACGATCAATAGATATCAATTAAAATTGGACAATTCGAAACGTGACTTCGATATAAGGGTATTCGATCAACCTTGGGAAAAATTTTAATGGGAGTTTCTGAAGGCCAAAATAAGACGAAAATCAAGAATACCAATTTGTTGATTTTTCGACAAAATTCAAAAATGTCAAATCGTTTTGGAAAAATTATTTTCGGCTGCGGGGGTCGATTGCAATCATTTTTGGTCATTACACATACACTTGAGATCCTACCCAGTTTTGAGAAAAAAATTCGAGAATGTATGCCATTTTTCGACAAAATTACAAACTTTCAAATCGTTTTGGAAAATTTATTTTCGGTTGCGGGGGTCCATTACAATCATTTTCAGTCATTAGACATACACTTGAAATCCTTCCCGGTTTCGAGAAAAAAATTCGAGAATATTTGAAATTTTTCCACAAAATTCAAAAATTTCAAATCGTTTTGGAAAAATTATTTTCGGTTGGGGGGGTCAATTGCAATAATTGTTGGTCATTACACATACACTTGAAATCCTTCCCGGTTTCGAGAAAAAAATTCGAGAAGGTTTGAAATTTTTCGACAAAATTCAAAAATTTCGAATCGTTCCGAAAAAATTATTTTCGCCTGCGGGGGTCAATTACAATCATTTTGGGTCATTAGACGTACACTTGAAATCCTACCCGGTTTCGAGAAAAAAATTCGAGAAGGTTTGAAATTTTTCGACAAAATTCAAAAATTTCGAATCGTTCCGAAAAAATTATTTTCGCCTGCGGGGGTCAATTACAATCATTTTTGGTCATTAGACGTACACTTGAAATCCTACCCGGTTTCAAGAAAAAAATTCGAGAAAGTTTGAAATTTTTCCACAAAATTCAAAAATTTCAAATCGTTTTGGAAAAATTATTTTCGGTTGGGGGAGTCAATTGCAATCATTTTTGGTCATTAGACATACACTTGAAATCCTACCTAGTTCCGAGAAAAAAATTCGAGAAGGTTTGAAATATTTCGACAAAATTCAAAAATTTCAAATCGTTCTGAAAAAATTATTTTCGGTTCCGGGGGTCAATTGTAATAATTTTTGGTGAATAGACATATCCTCGAAATCTTGTGCATTTTCGAGAAAAAAATTCAGTACGAACGGAACTTTAAACGTTAATAACTTTTTAACAAATATTCTTGATTTTCGTCTTATTTTGGCCTCTAAAATTCCCCGTTAAAATTTTTCCCATGGGTAGCCGAACACCCTGTATCAGGAAAATCGAATTACAATGTACAAATTCCGTTGGTTAATTGGTGCAAAGATTACAATCGCTTTTTAGAGTTAATACGTTTGATAAGTGGCAGCATTCAGCAAAAAGCCAATTCGTATTAATGATACTAACTTGATTACTCTACTGCAAGCTACACGACGAATTAGACGTTTCATTTATATTTCCAATGGAATACTTGTTCGATACTTACGGTATAGCCGACGCCTGGCATTTAATAGTATCAGCGATATTTTGTTCGGAGTAGAGGCCGATCGGCGAGTTGAATTGTTTGTGGACTACCTGCGGAATCAAACGAAACGAAACGATGACGAGACTGGCTAGAAATTAGTTTCACATTAATCACAACGACAACGGTACAGTTGCCCTCGTTTGCCTCTTTGTACGTACGTAATAGCATTAGTCTTTACATTTTGTATTCTAAATGTGTTTCAAATTCCCTGTAGTAAGTCATAAATTTACTGTTAGACACGTTTAAAGTACTCGATATACTTTCAAACGATGTAATCTCCTCGGCGAATCTACGAATAGAAATCTACATATGCGCGTTCTATTAAAGACAGATCGCCCAGTTTCTGATAGGTTAATCAAATGACAAAATATCGATAGCATGCTATATTATCGTTGGCACTCGCAATATATTTCGAAGGTATTTTATATAGTTAGAATTCTCAAATGTATTTTTTTAATGCGAATGCATCGTGTGGTTTCGTTGAAAGCGAAAGCATCGTTTGTGGAAGCGGAAGCGATTCGAGAATAAAGTTGGTCCAAACCTTTGGAACTTCATTCGGTCCCAAGACGCGTTGGAGTACCGATTCCGCCACCTAGTCGGACGTTTTATGAAACACATATTCACAAGTTAAACATTAGGGGGCGGTGATCACGTTCGACGACGTTCTCGCGATAAAAAACACTCTTCGCTTTTTCGCTCGTAAAACACGTTCCCGTTTTTCTCCTCGTTCAGAAGTGTCAAGGTTCGTTGAATACGCACCTTTTGCTTCATAGCAACTTCGGGATGAGCCGGTTCGTAATGATGAGGTGCCGCTCTGATCATCGGATTCGGATGATGACGCAGGTAGCACTCTCCGAGTGGTGCATCCTTCTTGACCTTTGCTCCTGGCAAGACCAGAGGGGTCGTGCGGTACGGCTAAAAGTTTGTTAATCTTTATTTACTTATATCAAACGAACGGTTGATTATAATTTCGTTCGTCGTTCGAAAATTTTTATCCAGATAAGAATGTTGCCCGTCTTCGAACGAAGATATCGTAATCGAGGGAAATTAAGTAACGTTCTTCTCGAATTATGTAAATACGACGATACGGATAAAAAGGTTAGGTTTTGGGTTAGGATCGATCGGGAAACATGATATACGAGTTACTTTATTCCGTGCTGCTTCGTGTAAAGAGAAAAGTGTGGATAGCGTGATTAGAATAGCTAACGAACTGCGAATATGCCCGAACCGATGGGTTCTTAATCAGATCGGTAGGCGTGGAATGCTCTGCCAGAACGACGTCAATTACCGACCAACGAAATCTAAAATAAACTTTAATAGAGGCCATCGTGATCGATGATACCTCATTAATTCTCGACACTGTTGCGATAATGGAGCGCGGCTCGCATCCATGAACCCAGACCAAAAATAAATCGATGATAATTTCGAAGATATCGACGCCACTTTCCGTTGAGCGGTTTGCGTCGGAAACGATCGGAGGGATCAAAGTAACGGTCGAGCGTACCTGCGCAGAGTATTCGTGCGCATGCGATAAACGCATGGAAATAAAATAGTCTGCAATTACCACGTTTATAATTATACTAAAATGTAGAAACAAATATGTAACGTTGCATGTTGATCACTGTACTCTCTAACGAACAATAATTCAAGCTCTACGCAAGGATAGTAAATAAGGTTATAAAAGTAAGGTTAAGTGAGTGACGTGATGGAACACGGCAGTTCCGGTCAAGCACTCCTTGCAGCAAACGATCTCGAGTCGATTCAATTTAACGAACGTGATACAGCAGGTACTTCACTCTAACAATCTTGAAGCACATATAGCTATATTAAGAGAACAAATTATTGTTGATTTATATAAAAATTGCACGTCGTTTTTTATCAGAAACAAAACATGTCCACTTGTCGAAATATCAGCCCGGAAAGTGGAACGATGTATCGTGCGATTCTTGTGATGATTATTTATAAGCTGTAGCTTTTTTTAAATTCCATATTCTCGCTGTACGAATACACAGCTTCTCTCATCAGCTGTGAATTTACTGTTCGACCAGTAAACAGCTGTACGCTGTATACGAATAGTTCGAACAAAAGATGCAACGTACTTTTAAGTTCTATTTCCGTTTGAACGTTTCGCGTAATGAATAATATCCGAGTCAAAACAGCGTGGAACGGTGGCGATAATTTTGGCAGAACTATTACAACCGGAAGCGAGCTCGCTGTATAGGGTACACGCATGTATATCGCTCGATGACCGCTGGTCCCGAACGAAAGTTGTAAAACGGCTAGAATTTCGCGGTTTTGGCTCGCGAGACCCGAGCACAATGAGCAAAATTGCATAAAACATCGATGTTACGAATAAAACCGTCCGCCAAATGTCCGCGTCCATTATGTCATCGGTTGTTTGTTTTCTGCGCGGTGTTACGATATTATTATAACAGAGAATCATCGCTTTGTTCTGTTTTGGCAAACCCGAGTGTTGTCAACTTGCAACACCTTGTTTTTCTTTTTTTCTGTACAATAACAATCATTATTATATTACAAATACGTCTTATCCTGACAGCAAAGAGGGGTAAACTTTTTTATTTCGATGAAAATTTTAAATATCGAATAAAAGACGAATTAGTTCGAATTATATGATAGAAATATTTTTTATTTTTGAACTGGGAAATATTTTAATGGGGGATTCTAGGGGCCAAAATAAGACGAAAATAAAGAATAACAATTTGTCGATGGAGGCTATTAAAAAAAGTTATTAACAATTAAATTTAAAAATTTCAAATCGTTTTGGAAAAATTATTTTCGGTTGTGGAAGTCAATTACATTCATTTTTAGTCATTAGACATACACTTGAAATTCTACCCAGTTTCGAGAAAAAAATTCGAGAAGGTTTGAAATTTTTCGTCAAAATTCAAAAATTTCAAATCGTTCTGGAAAAATTATTTTCGGTTGCGGGGGTCAATTGCAATAATTTTTCGTGAATAGACATATTCGTGAAATCTTGCGCATTTTCGAGAAAAAAATTGGAGAAGGTGTGAAATTTTTCGACAAAATTCAACACTTTCAAATCATACTGAAAAAATTATATTTAGTTACAGGGGTCAATTACAAGCATTTTTGATGAATAAGGCGTACCCCGAAATCCTACGCGTTTTCGAGAAAAAAATTCGAGAAAGTTTGAAATTTTTTGACAAAATTCAAAAATTTCGAATCGTTCTGGAAAAATTATTTTCGATTGTGGGGGTTAATTACAATTATTTTTGGTCATTAGACATACACTTGAAATCCTACCCAGTTTCGAGAAAAAAATTCGAGAAGGTATGCAATTTTTTGACAAAATTCAAAAATTTCAAATCGTTCTGGAAAAATTATTTTCGGTTGCGGGGGTCAATTGCAATCATTTTTTATCATCAAACATACACTTGAAATCCTACCCAGTTTCGAGAAAAAAATTCGAGAAGGTATGCCATTTTTCGACAAAATTCAAAAATTCCAAATCGTTCTGGAAAAATTATTTTCGGTTGCGAGCGTCAATTGCAATCATTTTTGGTGAATAGACATATCTCCGAAATCCTTCCCACTTTCTAGAAAAAAATTGGAGAAGGTGTGAAATTTTTCGACGGAAAAAAGAAATCTCAAATTGTTTTGGAAAAATTATTTTTAATTAAAATTTTTCCCAGAGTTGACCGAACACCCTGTATTATAAATTATTAAAATTTTTTTATTTTGATTAGAATTTTAAATATCGAATAAAAGACGATCTAGCCTAAATTATACGATAGAAATATTTTTCAACGAGCGAATAAAAATCTAACCGTGCAATTGTATTTTTTGCAGGTTGATTTCATCGACGGCGATATGGCGAGAACGGGTGTGACTTATTAGCCTAAATTACACGATAGAAATATTTTTCAACGAGCGAATAAAAATCTAACCGTGCAACTGTATTTTTTGCAGGTTGATTTCATCGACGGCGATGGTGAGAACGGGGTGGACTTATGTTTACCCACAAAACGAATGCGCTTCGATCGGCTATCGTCATTGCCGAAACACGAGGGAAATGAGAATGTCAAGTGGAGCGGGCTGAAGAAAGACGCGCGTACGCGGGATAGAGTTACGCGTCGTATTTATAAGACGCGATCGCAAGAATAGAAGGATCGGATCCGAGTCCGGTCCGCCATTGATTTTATTTCGACGGGGCTGTAAATACAGATCGACGCGTCGTACGATTTCACGTGATCGGATGAAAACCGCGATTACGAGGATTCCATTACAAATGGGTCAGGAACATCGTTTTCATAGGGTGAGCAACAGTGACTCTCTCGAAATAGATGAAGGCCCCTAGCCCAGGCAAAAATAACGTGTAACCCGTGTGCCACGAAATCTGTCTTCGTAGCGGAAAATGATTGTCAATTCCCGATCGACTTTCTATACGATCGAGAACCTGGTCGAAGATGTTGATCGACTCCAGCAGTCGAGCGTTTATCAACCGATTAAATCGATTAATCGATCAAGTAATGAAACTCGCAATGATCGATGTTCGAATCGTCAGGTATCGAAGACGATAATCGATTGTGTGTTATTCGATATATCGTTTCTTGTAACAACGTCTTTTATTAATTAGAATGTTATGCTACGCGTAGACTGTTCAGAAGACACCTGACTTTTCATTAGGACGAACTCTTATGTATCCACAAACTCTTATGTTAATTTTTATAGATTTCTCATTGGATTAGAACTTTAAACTAATTGCTAGAAGTATTGTTTGTCAAGTTTGTTTCGTCGACCACCGTGTATTGTAAAAATGGTTTAACACATTCGCTGCGAAGCCTATATTATATGAAGCTATTCCCATTGCCATTAATATTTGTAGTGGTATTGTTTACCAAAGTTCTGTTATTTCTTGGTAAAAGCACATACATTATCATACATAATCATTTACATGCACTTGACATGCTATTCCTCAAACCCAACACTTGCAAGGAGACTCGATATTACTGTCGATTACGTTGCTATAAAATTTCGTTATAAATACACGATGAAGTTGATTTCTGCTTAATTTAAATCTGTAAAAGATCATTATCTTCAAATAATAATTGAAGTATAATGTTTGTAATAAATTTCATTTCTAGTATTTTTTTTCAAGTTTTTTACAATTTGTATATTTATGTTTGCGAGTACAAAAAGTTTGCTTACTCAAAAGCCTGTACGTTACAAGATATTGAAAGTAGGACGAGTATACTCGTCTTGGCAACGCGTAAAGACGAGTATACTCGTCCTTGGCAGCGAGTGGGTTAATATCTCATTGATGTTAATAATCAAGAGTCGACTTTCGTTCTACGTCGTTAAATTCCATTTGTACATGCTTCAGAACAATTATATCGACGAAACAACGTTACAAGGAAGCCCGTCTGTACCAATCGTCATTTTTGTGAAACGTCCCCGGTCTAAATTCAGCCGCGACGAAACGGCTGTTTCGAAAAGCGTTTATCCGCTTGGCTCGTCCGCCCGGTTACACCGAAACTTGAACTCTGATCGTAAGGAAATATTCTAGACGCTTTTTTGGCAACGCGCGACGTGACAATAAAGAGCGTTTACGTGTCGCGATATAGACGGGTCAGAACGGTACGCGGTAACCGTCTCCGTTCCTCGGGTCTACCTTGACCCTTTTGGAACCACGGGCGGAATTTTTTCCACGTTCCCGATATTTCGAACGGGCTCGAAATACCGGTTCTGGGTGTCGTTCGATCCGCGAACGATTCCTTTTTAACGGGGGAGGTGACGAAAGAATTTTTGGGCGAAACGATGCTTTCGCGATGCCCGCTGACACGACGCGCGTGTGGGTGTGTCGTTGTGTCGTCCCTCTTCTGTTTTAGTAACCCAGATCCCGTTCACGAAAATAGAATAAGATACCAATGAAC